CCGCCCCCCCCGCCGCCATGGCGGCCCGGGTGCTGAGGCCGCTCTCCAGGTAACGGGGAAGCGGCGGTGGCCGCCCTGAGGCGCGGCGAGGCGTCTCCAGCGCACCCTCCCCCCTCCCCGCTGAGGGTCTTGAAATGGCGGCGGGCCGGCCGCGCTCGCAGCTTTGCCTTTGCCTTGCGGCAGGGAGCGATGGGTCTGGGAAGGCCGCTGATGCCGGGGACTGTAAACCCCTGAACTGGTATAAATATAATTTAGGCCTAGATTAGCCAGGCCTAGATTAGCTTTACCACTCTAAAACGAGCATGTACTTCAGAACTATCTTAGGGCGCCGGGATATTAGCGTGTAACATGTTAATTGGCTGTGTTTTGTGCTCTTAAGTAGCTGAAAGATAAAAGCTGCTCGTTAATGTTGATGCAAGCCAGGTGTTTGAAGACCAGCAAATGCCCTTGGTAACTGTCCTCCTCAATAGAGTACAGTAACAATTAATAAATAACAGCCTCATTGCTTAAATCAAGTAACAGAAAGTCACAGGATGGGTATCTCCTTTGAGCCTTGCTCAAGCTGTTACACAAACCTTACATAAATGCACATACATGCAAGGACATGAGGGCAGGTTTGGTGTAATGGAAGCTTTGGAAATGCACAAGTTTTTGACAAGACCTTTTTTAAAAATTCTAGTATTTAAATGTCCAGAAGAAGGCTGTAAATCTTCAAAAGAGACACGCTGCTAAGTATCAAACATGTCCCCCAAACTCTTTGTCATATTATTTCCAGGTTCTCCTTCTAACTTGAACACAGAAAACATTAGTAGTTGGCATCTGCTATCTATTTACTAGTAAGCAAAGAAGTTTCCAACTGTTTTGATATCAAAATTATACTCTAGTTTTACTTGATTTTAAAAAGGAGAATGTAGAACAATTGTGTTCAGAATTTTTTTGACAAAGCTTTGCTTAACTCAGCAGTCATATATTTGGGGATTAAGTAGCTAGTTTATGATTTTAGCTATCTTTTTTAATATTTCTTTTTCAGGCTGAAGCCGTTCAACAGACTGCAAGTAATATTACAACATTTGGTAAGAACATCTTGTTTGACTGAGTTGGAAGCTTTTAGGACTCTTAACTCCCCTGAGGCAGACAGTACATGCAACTTCTAATGTGTCTGCTCACAGTGGTTCTGACTGCCATCATTTATTGCTCAGGCATAACGTTGCCCACGTCTTTGAGCACTTTGTTACAAGTTTCTATTATACTGTAAGTTAAAGTTGAATTCTTTTGCCTTACCTACTTTTACAATTAGTTTCTGTGTTAGCTTCCGTATATTCCTTAAATGTCATTTAACTGTGAGTTTGAAATCAATTGTGAAAATAGTTTAGTGATCTGTTCTCTACTGTTAAAAGTTACTTACAGACAAAGCAATTTTTAAAAAATGAACTCAAATGTCAAAAACTTGTCCGAGGGTTATTACTCTGAAGGACTCAAACATAAACTGGTTTCGAAAGAACTGTTTAGGAACTGCAAATAAATCTTGAAGTACAGTGGGAAAGCCCTAGCATACAATTCCAAAATGCATGTTTTCTGATCTTAAATAGTGAGTTTTGAGAATATATTTCCGCAAGCACGCTTGTAAGTATGTTAGTCAAGATACCTAACTGATGACATTTGCTTTATTTATTTGTTTTTGCATGTACAGAAAATGTCTAAGCATACAGATTCGACAGCTGAAGTGTTGTTGGAAAAGAAAGGAGGTGCGGGAATAATAACTTTGAATAGACCCAAGGTTCTCAATGCACTAAGTTTTTCTATGATCCAACAAATTTATCCACAAATAAAGGTTAGTAGCTCCACTTCTACCCATCCACTATACATACAATATCCGAAACCAATTTTAAAATTCAGTCTGACACTTCTTAGTGTACTGATTTAAAGCATTAAAGTCTATGTGAGTACACTGGCCAATAAGCTCAGATTTATAGGATGGGAAAGAACAGACAGTTTCAAGCAAGTTTGACGTGTCTTCTCATCTTTCTAAGAAACAAGCTGTCAGACAAAGTTAAATTTAGCATCTGGATAGATAAGAGACACCCATATTAAAACCAGGACTGAATTAAAAGTGAGCAGTGCCCAGAGTTTATATGTTCCTTTTGGCAACACTCAGCTAGTCAGTCAGCATGCACGAATTCCAAGCTGTACAGTGGTGTTGCCTCTTGATTGGGTGCATGTTTTGTGGGGAGGCTGCATGGCTGAAATAAAAGATACAAGTCATTAGGAAGCAAGGTGCTGTCAGTGTGTCATTCCTTAAAGAAGAACTTTATGGATTTACAGGCACTGTTTCTACAAGCTAGTGAAGTAATGTGAAATCTTAAGCATGCATATAGTCCTTTTTAATTTAATGATATTATTTGTCATATGCACAAAGTCAAACTTATTAGATAACAGTATTTGGTGGATAGTTACCCACCTTCTGGTGTTTTGGTAGACTGTTGTGTTGCAAATTTATCCATTCTTTGAAGGATGTTTAAAGAAAAAAAAAATACTTAATCTGTAGTGCTGAGTACCGGGCTTTATTTGAAGCACAACCTTAAAAGGTGGCATAATTTTAAGTACAGTTGCTGGTATAGAGAAATATCCTGTCTCTTTTTTATCTGGGTACGCTTACTAGAATAAGGGATACATAAGCATAGTTTAAGATGCAGAAAAAGCCTGTAAGCAGCATCTTTTTGTCAATATGGTTGCACCACTGCTGAAGTCATGTACCAGTGTATTTAATTCAGAAACACCCCCCCCATAGTCTTTGTACCTAGCAAAACATCTGTGCACAAATTGATTTGATCCAGTCCTTGATTAGCATTGATTGCAGTCATTTTGACAAAATCCATCAACAATTTAAATGCTGTTTTCCTTGCCATGCATCTTAGATTTACACAACTTTCATGATTTGTCCTGAAACACTGTTGTTATATCTTCCGTATTCCCAGCATTGTGTTCCCATTGAGGTTAACGTCGGGCCCCATTTGGGGAGTGCTCTTCAGAGATTGGGAGCTCTGCGTAGGCATTTTTATGAAATACACAAGGCAACTCTGCTGATCACTGATGTCAAGACTGAATAGGACACAGGAATGGCAGAAAGACACGTAGCTCCCAAACTTCTATTTAAGACAAAACTATTTTAAGTATGGTTTGGTTTGCTTTTTGCAAAAGTAAAATAAGAATTATAGACAGCATACAGAAAAAGCATTTTTTGCACAGATTTTAATCTTACATGGAAACATTTACTTCTTTTTAGACTTGGGAGCAAGATCCTGAAACTTTTCTAATAATTATAAAGGGAACTGGAGGAAAAGCTTTTTGTGCTGGGGGTGACATCAGAGGTAAGGACTGTAGTCACTTAAACATTTGACATTATCTTTGCCAATTACTACTTTGCGTTGATTTCCTTTATTTACTGTGACTCAGGTAAACAGAGACTTGCTACACAACAGTAAGAGAGATTAGTTGAGCTGACTTCTTATAACACCTTGATGTGCAGGTGCTATTTAAGTTATTTGTCAGGAGACAGCTGTTGGAACATTGTATAAAAGAGTAAAAATTGGGTTTTTAATGAATAACTAGTAATAGCAGCCAGTCATTCCTAGGAAGAGAGGGTTCTTGTCTCTACCTCCTTCTTCCCAGATTTTCATTACTGACAGCTTCTTTACAAGAAATTTGAACGGTCCTAATAGGTAGCTCTGTTACTACTGGCTAATTTGTGTCTGATGTTTGAGATGGCTAGATACAGAGCTGACAATGGTGAACAATGTATCTGTGATTATTTCATAACTATCAACTGTAGGAAGTCTCCAAACTGTGAAAATTAGCAGTTGTTTTAAATTTTAGATCAACAAAGCAGCACAGGTTATTGTTAAATTATGCCATGCTCTAATTGGCTTCTCATTTTTAGTATTCAGAGACTGCAGTATAATCAGTTTTAAGTGGGTGTTCTATATATTGATACGAAATATCACGAACAGGACTACAAGACATTAGGAGGGGTTCCATAGCATAGAAAATGGACTTTACTCTCAAAAGAAGTATGTGACAGAGTCTCCAGCATAATAGAATTGACTCAAATTTGAAACTTCGCGTTCCTATTTGTTTGAGCAAATTTTCTCAAATAAAATGAAGCAGAATTAAGTTGCTGTTTGATTGCTGAAGGAAAAAAACACCTGTTATCATGTGCTATTAATTTTTTTTACTTGTTATTGTATTTTCTATTAAACTTATAGTTATCTTTAGAATTTTTATTTCCCTTAAGCCATCGCAGATGCAGGAAAAGTTGGAGATAGACTGGCAGAAGATTTCTTCAGAGAAGAATATATCTTGAACAATGCCACTGGTATGTTTAATAGCAAATTCTGAAGCAGTACAGCTTTCATAATAGTGGCTTCGAATGTAAATTCACTTTCTCTCTTTGCTAATCTATAAGAGACTGCAATAACATAATAGAAGTAGTAATGTTTTTTTTTTTTTACCAAGTTCAATACCAATAGTGTAACATATCTCATTTTTATACCTTGGATGCAGAATTTGTTTCTTTTGTTTAAGCTATTAGGATAGCTACCTTATATCTCATCCCATTGTTCTGGGTAGTTACATTTGCGGTATGGATGAATTAAGTCTTAGATGCAGACAGTGCATTTTTGCACTAGGTATCATTGATGTACTTCAAAGAAGACCTGAGATGAAAATCGGTGCACAGAAAATCATTAGTATTCAGAAAGCAGAAGATCAAATTATGTTAAAGATTTCTGTTTAAATAAACTGCATAAATGAATACTCAAGCTAGGAGTTAACTGCCTTAGTTTATTGCAAAGAACCTAGGAGTATGTGGTCTTAAAATAACTTAACAGCAAAGGCAGTGGGTGATGTTTACCAGGGTAAAGGATATTAAGAAAGGATATTAATTCTTTTGGGTGAAAGTCAAGAGTTGAATGTTTTGGTGCAAAAAAACCTCTCCAAACATACTTTAATTGACTACAGTTTGAGTTTTTAAACATTGTATCCAGTATTAGTCACTATGGGAGGAGAGGTGAACATGTTGCATATCGACTCAGGTTGACAGGAGAGCATAGTGATTAAAGTAAGAGTAATTTCTGAAAAGTTATTTTTACTTCATTTGACAGAGTTTCCAGTTTTAGCATGTTTGTCATGTACCCTTCCTGCCTTCATCAAGAAAAATAGTTCAAGGTTTCATGTACTTGGGAAAAACTAGTATTACCATGGCAGTTGGACTAGATGATCATTGTAGGCGCTTCCAACTATCTATTCTAGTCTATTCAAATGTTGGAAGGGTACGTACTTTAAAGGTGTTAGTTTTTTTTAAATGATTAGGGTGTTCTATGTCTATAATGCATGTAATTAAAAACTGTAGATTTTTGGTAACTTTGGTATGATTGTATTCATTTAAAACTGAGACTTCTGCCAAAAAGGTTATTTATATCTTATATTTTACAACTTAAAAATACAGAGGGGAGCTGCTTTCACAGCATTTGCTATTGGGAAGGCATGCTTCTATAGAAATTTAGTTCAAAGACTAGCATCTAGAGTCTGTGCATTAGCTTATATGTTCATGTAAGAACAAAGTTAAAAATTCAATTCTGTTATATTTTCTAACTACTAATTTAAAGGACTGAATTGCCTTTTAAAATAGTTCTTTTTTTAAACAAGGATCTAAAGTTGCTGCAGAAAAGTTAGCAACATGGTTGCAGCGGATACCTGTATCAACAACCTGACTGAACTTTAAGTCTGACCTGAAAACACTGAATATGAGGCAGCGGTTTCATTCACAGTGAACTCCTGAATCTTTCCATGAATGGTAATTGAGAGCATCAGGTCTTTGGTTTCATGCCTCCTAAAGGCCTCAACAGATGAAGGTGATAGATAAAACTGTGGTACTTTAGGACATTACAATCTCAACCTGCCTGCACCACATTCAGCATTGTAACATCCAACAGAGCTGGCAAGACAGAACATGTTTGCATTGCAGTAGTTTATAGTCACATTTTGGCTGAAACCTACCAATGCATCTGGCTTTGTAGTAGAGTACTGGAGTGCTGGTAGGCACTCTGTGCTGTTAATCCAGGCTGTGAGATGAGGTGAAAGGGAAACTGTTGTGTTCCAACATCCTACAAAGCTATTTATAATAGCCAGATGTGGCTAAGTTCTCAGGTACTCAGATAGCAGACAACCTGACATTTGATGGTTGTATAATGTTCTCTTACAACACTCAGAATGCAGTAAGTCAGTGACTGGTGTTTCTTTCCATTGCTTAAGAATTACATGAAGTACCTTCATTGTAAGTTGATATTTTACTGTTTAATTTACCATTTATTTTCTGTTGCTCTTGCTGAAGTAAGACATGGGGAAATGCGTCATGTATACAGTCACAGGTCCACTCTTTTGAAAAAAACGTACAATATTTTTTTTTTTACATTTCTTACAGGCACTTGCAAGAAGCCATATGTGGCACTTATTGATGGCATTACAATGGGAGGGGTAAGTTAAGTACCTTGGTGTGAGATCTGATACAATTTGTTTTAAAGTAATATAATATTCTGTGCTTGAGTTAAATGAAGTGCACACATGGCATTTCAAACATTTCAATTCAAGAACAAACATTGTAATCTGAAGCTTTGTCTCTTGCTTGTCGGGGTGGATTGCTACTCTTCTAGTGCTGCTGCTGTTCTTTGCTAGTGCAACTGCTTTCTCTGAGGATCTGGCTATTGTGTTGAGAAAAAGAGCAGAATGCCGACACTGTCAGAAACAGCCCTCAGAAAGATTTTCAGAATACTGAAGTGTGCATTTGTAGATCATACAAGAGCTGAGAAGAATTTTCTACTCGAAGTGTATTAAAAAAATAGAACTACATAAAAATACAATTAAAGGACACCTCTTTGAAAAATGGGAAAAATATCATTCTAAGCTATACTTTAACAGACATTCACGAGTTCTGTATTTTTCCAACAAATAATCTGGAAATGCATCTACTTTCTCACCTCTGCAGTACTCCTAAAACATGAGTTATAAGATCCTGATTCCCCCCCTACGCCCCTAAGGCTGCACCTTATTACTAAAGCAACATTGAGAAGACTCCATCACATTGCTAGTTATACTTGGTGTTAATAATTGTTTCAGCAATTGTTGGTTCTAAACACCATGAGTAGGTAATTAAAAGCGCAACACCATGCTTTTCTACATGCTAAAATCATATTCTTTTCAGTTTGACATCTATTGGATATATTTGCATCATAGCAGGGAGTAGAATACAATAATCTTAAGTTATTTTGAACAATGAGTTTGACGGTGAAGTCTGCTATATTGTCACTTAGATTTATATTGTCTTCTTGCATGTCAGTATGATATAAGTGTACAGTCTATTTAAATTAAGTTTGTCAAAGACAGGATGCAAGAAGTGGAACACTACATGATCCATCACCTGTCGTGACCCTTCCCTTTCCATCTTTCCTTGCACACTTAATTTCGTCTGTGTTGTGTTTTTTTTTTTCAGGTTGTGATCAAAACACATGATAGCTCTCTTCCCCTTTGCTCCTCTGCTACCAAGCCCCAAAGATCTCAGCTTGATAACCACCCCCTACCCATGCCCAATCTAGTACACATAAATTGTCTCCAGCACAAAGGGGACTAGTGTTTTAGCTCTTCCTGCAGGAAAAGGTTTTTATTGAACATAAGAGACCTGAAGATTTGTGGATAAGAGATAGGGAGGTCCATTTATTTTATGGAGTTTTTAATAATAGCATGGATAGCTATGAAAAAGCAAAACTTCCCAGCAGCCAGTGTCTTTTTAGAGGTCCTGTAGATTGCTCATTATGATTGTGGCCTAAGCAGGAACAGAATTTTGTCCTTTGAGAGGAAAGAGCATAATGGAGTCAGATGATCCTGCGTTACTAAGATTCTTTATTAGTTCCCTTTCTTTTAAAGAGCTTTTAAAAGACAGCAGTTAGTCTGAAACTTTAGTTGGATACCCAAATTTTAGTATAGGATACCCAAATTTCAGTGGGACCTTGACAGAGTTTACCTACCATTAGAGTTTGAATGACAGCTTACTTGCTTATCCTCAGTTTGATGATACTAGTAGCAGTTATCTTCATTTGGGGGTAGGGGGCTAGATTTTGATTGAGCAAGTATGCAAACTAACTTAGGGGAACAAGCAGGTAGGTCTCAAGTTCCAGACTACTTTTAAACTTTTTTCTTAACCTTGAGTGCTATTTAATTTGCACTTGTTAATACAGCTGCAGTTTACTCTGAGATAATGTCCTTCCTACAGGAGCACATGTTTTCATCAACACACTTATTTTTTCCTTCCCCTCTCTCATTGGCAGTACATGGAAGTATCTACTGATAATTTAACAAAGGAGGTCAGCAGTAGTATTTCTCAACACTGATTAATTTTTGTGTATGTGTTTTGTGTTAGTTTTTAGTTGTCTTCTATGCTTTTCCTTTTAACCACCTCCCTTGTCTGTAAGATTTGTTTTGATTCCTCTAAATAGACCAGTGCTTACATAGGAAAAGTGCATTAGCTCCCATCTTTCCCCCACCCTCTTCTCTCACCATTTACAGTACTGGGAGCCCCATCACAACTGACCATAACCAAACTTAAGGCTTGCAGCAGCTGTTTTCTATTGTGGTACAAATTGGTTCACTGCAGTGGGATTTTATAGACCAAAGCCACTAGAAGGGCCCTTGAACTTGTCATGGTCATACTGTTACCTTCTTCTGCTTGCTGTATGGAAGGAAGTACTCTGTCCTACTGTAATTATTCACTAGACCTGCATTCATACAAAGGAGTTATTCTATTCATGGTATAATTAGATGCTTTGTTTTAAATCACTCAGATGCTAGGATCTATGTTTTTGACACAATCAGGTCATATTTTGTCTATCTCATATGCACAAGATCTGGCTATCTTAGGCCCTACAAGTCAGTTAGAGCTAGAAACATTTGTCACTTACGAACCACAGAAAATGCCTTTAAAAAAAAATTTACATTCGAGCCCTTGGTTTTAGAAGCAAGTGGTTTTAGCTTGGGCTTAAAAATCGAGGGACACCTCTTAAACACTGCAATTTCACTATAGACCGTTTATCTATGAATGAAAATGCAAGCAAGTCAATCTCAACCTTGCTCAAAAAAGCAGCACTACGCACGTGGAGTGTTCTGTTGTTCTTATTTAAAATAAATTAAAAAAAATCACACAGTGTATCAGAAACTCAGTTATTATGTGCTTAGGTAGTAAAAGTTGCTACTGATGCACAGATACCAGATTTGTGATGGTAAGACTTGAAATTGTATCAAGAAAATGAAATGGTTCCACTTCAGCATTCTTGGCTGGAGGCTGGTAGGTGGCTTTCTTGGGAGCTTAATTAGCCAACAGATGGGGCTGTGGAGCTTGTTTTCTGCACCTTCTTGTCTACTCCTGTAGTTCATCAAAAATTTATATTTGATATAAATGTATCTTTTCATCTTTTTGTACTTATTCAGAGCAGTAGGTTCAAGTGACAAGTATGTTTGATGAAGCAAAGATGACTGCATTTTACTAAAAAACAGTGAAACAAGTTATAAATACCACATTTACTGGTAAAGGGCATATACTGTTGAAGGGCACGCTGGGCGCATACTGTCATGTTTCTAAAAACTACTATTAAAATCATTTTAGTTTACTTCTATCCATACATTTTTATTTCCTTGAAATAAAATACCTTAACAGTAGACAAGAAATGCAGAGTTTTTAAACGCGTGGTTTTTTTTTTCTTTAATATTATCTGTAAATGAGGTCCTAAACTTGGGCTTCTTGGTTCTAGAAAAGTCCCAATCTTTTCCTGATTTCTTTGCAGAGGAATAGAAGTGTGCTTTATAAGCTCAGTCTAAATCTATGGTTTTAAATAGGGCTTTGGCACAAAATACATTACAGTGTCAGATACTCTCTCTAACAGAATAAAAGAATTAATAAAAATGTGTTTTAAACATGTTTCAGAGCCAAGTAAAGTACACTAGACAGATTTGAGTGGTGGCTTTCGGATGATTTGGCTTAGAATTCAAGGTGAATATTTGACAGCAAAAAAAAAAAAAAAGAAATACAGGGCATAGACTTTGGAAGTTAATGAATGTGGTCCGGGTCACTGGGCTAACTTTGTATAAAGCATACTTAAAACTCTAGTGCCATATTGCCAAAACAGTGGTACATAATTTTCAGGAGCCAAAGGCCATTACTTTTAGTTTAGGGAGGAATCTGCAACAGCATGTACAAACTACCCTTTTCCTTAGTATCATGTTCTAGAGCATGCGTGATTTAGAAAATTCCTGAGCGAGGCTTTATTTCAGAACCACAGTGCTAAAAAACCATCACTAATCATACTCACCTCTCTATTTATCTAGTATTTTTGACATAAGTAGGCTTCAGAAAGGCCTGTGGCCATCAGTTTCACAGTTGAATTTTGTGCTTTGTGAAAAGCAATTTGCTGCTGTTTCAGGCCTGTCATCTAATATTATTGAATGCTTATATGTTTAATTGTTAATGAGGCCAAAATAGGCCCTAAAATTTTTTTTTTTTTTACTGATGAGTAAAGACTGTTGCTCAAACAGCAATTCTTGTCTTTGCACAATTAAATACAAGATTTAATGCTTTAGTCTGACCTCTTACACAGTGTATTTGCTAAGTTTATTTTAGCAAGTTAGAGATTTATAAAGGTTATACCATTATGTTACACGTCTTGCTTAAACAATTAATGCTTTGAGTTTTAGGATGAGAAAACATCTTCCTGTGAGGCAAGCAGATTTAAACTTATATGGTAACGTGCAACTTTTTCAGTACAGAAATGGGGTTTGGTAGAGTTGCCAGCTCTCTTAAACCCTTCACAAGCCCTGTGCTTTGAGTTATTCCGAGAATCTTATTTTCTAATCTTCATGCTTAGGGAGAGTAATAGGAAGTTGGAACTGTAATATAGCTCACAATTTAAAGAGATAAAGGGTCACCCATCCTTATTTCCATCCCTGATTCACTCAGATTCTAGGGCCCAGTTTGTGAGAGTGATAACAGTACTCAGTACTGACTGCTTTATTCTCTCCCCTGTAGAGAAGGGCCTCAGGTATACAGACTGCAAATATGAGAAAACAACCTGTTAATTGGGTCTTTGGGTTCATGAGGGGCTTTGCATTAGTTTTGTCAGCACACTTAGCAGTACAGGTTTTTTAAGCAAGGGCTTTTACTTAAACTGAGAGTCTACATCTAAGTTAACTTACATAGAGTATCTTTAAGGTAACCGTTAGTAGAATTTTTTTAGAGTACTGTTTGAGTCTGTGTTAGTCTCTCAGGTAGTAATGTCAAATATGCTAAGCTTTAGACTATACAGAAGTATAGAGCCGAGAGGAACCTCAGGATTATTCTTCTGCACTTGAAGTAGGGTTAAATATAGCTAGATGATTGCTTAGCAGATTTTCACCTAATGCGCTCAGAGCTCTCCAACAGCAGGAA